AGACTGTTTCTGTGATTTTAACGTCACCTGCTCGGCTCAGTGATTTTAACCCCCTCCCTGTATTTTATATGTGGAGCCGCTTGTTGATACTGAACACACTTACTTAAATGTTATTAGTGTTAGACACTTACTCTCCCTCTGCTGCTCGCCTTCAGACGGACTAGATTTGACAGTTAAAGATATTTTCTTTTTTTTTCCCATGTGCCCCTTCACCCCCTTCTTGTATAATCCCAGTCATCCGTCAGTTATAGTTTAGACTGTGTGTTGTTTTGACTGCAGCGTCCTTGAAGGCACCGCAGGGCGAAGATTACTGCTGCTGCTGCCAACTGTCATCACACACACAGACACACACACACACACACACACACACACACACACACACACACACAGGTGTGAATCACCTGAGTCTCGCTGACGGTGAACAGATAAGAAGTTTGTCTGCTTCAGTTCAGATAGCTCTGCTGTCAGTCGCCTGGATTCATGATGCTTCTGACTGATGACATTGTGATTAGAAGATAAGAGTTAATTACTGAAGCCTCAATCCATCAACACATGAATTAAAGCCGTGTCACACCGAGCACAGATTTACGTCTGAAAAGTTTGTGTGGAAATTTATAAAAACTGATCTTCTGGATTTTTCTGAATGTTACAACACTGCTGCAAAACATAAGTGTGAGGAAATTCGTCCGGACCTCAATTTCAGCGGATTTCCACCTGTTGGAAAATATGTTTGACCAATGAAATCCTTCGTTTCAACCATACTGTCATACTTCTAGATCATAGGGGGCATTTATGTCCCGCCCCCACTGGAGGGAGAAACAATTCACCGCCCTCTATTGACTTTGTATTGCATGAGAGGCCAGTCTCACTCTGAAGTCGTCGAAATCTGGTGCTTGGGCAGTGACTTGCAGCATGAGACACTGACAGAAAAAGCTGTCCTGTAATGTCAGCATGATACCCAGCCCATCGCGATTATAGTTAAGTGGCGGTGGCAGCATCAGGGGGACAAGAACGAAAGTTAAGGCGGCAGAAGTCCAAGAAGGGCGTGCAGAGGAGAGGTGGATGGGTCCAACAAACATCGATTTTCACCTGACTTCTGGCGTCATACACCATCAAAAAAGCTGTCCTTTCAAATCGGCATGAAACGCAGCTGGTCGCTGTTATTGTTTAACAGCTCCCAGCGGTGTCAGAGGGAAATGTGGTGGGACAACAATAAAAATTAAGGTGGCTGAAGTCTGTGTAGGGTGGACAGGTGGATGGGTCCAACAACCACTGACTTTCACTTGGGAGGCCGGTGTTCACTTCCTGTAAGATTATAAAGCCCAACCCTGTTCTTTTGTCCTAAACCTGATCAACATATTCTCACTGTGACCTCATCACATGTCCACGTTTGTTCATGGACTTTCCACGTCCACATATGACGTCGAAGGTAGTTCGTTAGGTTGTTATGGATAGCAGGAAAAATGTGTCTTTACAGATAGGCTGCAGCCTGTTCTCCTTATACAAGATTAAATTAGGGGTGTTGCTGTCCACCATTTTGAGAATAACCAGTTGTTGTGACATACAATATGTACGGTATCCACCTTATTTTTCACGGAAACACGGAGGCAAAACAGAACGCAACCACCTTCCATTTTTTTGTGCGACACTTCCAGTCCAGCACTCTTACCACTGTGTAAATGGGAATCGCCTTGTTGTTTACTTTGTTGAGTTTAGCTCTATATACATATATATCACATTTTTCACGTCACTATATCACCGTTTAGACTAATCTGATGTATGTAAAGTCTATAAACACAATGACTGAACAAACATTACTATTTCTGTGTGCACGTTTAGTAATTAACATGGTTATCGTAGATTAGCTGGGCTAACCATTAGCTGTTAGCCGTTAGCAGTGTCAGTAATAACTCAATAAACAGTCTGTGAAAAAAAAAATTTTTCCAGCGGATGTCTTAGTTACAACATGACTGAGCTAACTGGAGCAGTTTCATGTAGTATCCGACAACGGGAGGCTTTTAACAGATGACGTCCTGATGTTAGCTTTGCTGCTAGTGTTAGCTGTCCCTGCCAGCTGCAGCCACTGATGCTTTCTAGACAGCGTGATTTCCCAAAACTGAATAAATACCACACATAGCAACACAAAACTGCTTTGCTAGCTCAATCATGTTGTAACGGCTGGATGGCTGATGCGTACATGCTGTTTCGGGTGCTATCAGAGCTGATCCGCGCATCACTATGGCTTAATAATCAACTCAGTCAATTAAAACAACCCGTCCTGTGTTAGGAGTGTA